TTAAGGGCCACTCAGTGCTACAGCACAGCCCCCCCCTACCCATCCCTGCCCCCCCATTCCAGAGGGCTGAGGGGTGGGGGTCTCGAGGCAGCCCCTCTCCATCCTCCCCACCATGCTCAGCCTCCTCCAGTTGATCCCAGAGAACCTCTGACCACAGTCCCACAGGGATAACCCCAAGGGAAGTGCCAGGGATCAGTGGTGCTGCCCCAGGACCCTCAGTCCCACCTCCAGTGCCCACCCAGCACCGAACTGATCCCCCTACCCCCAGTTCTCTGCTGAAGGAGCCAACTCCCAACCCACCCACCCCCTCTCCCCAGGGTCAGTGAGCCCCTGAGCTCTGGGCAGGGGGTGTTTCAGGGGGGGTCCCTGCCTGCCCAGCCTGCAGCTGCAGGATGTGCTGGTCCAGGAGAGCCGTGAGGTGCGCGGGGCCACGCTGGAGCAGGGAGGAGGTCTGGGAGGGCAGGAGGGCCAGGGCACCTGCTGTCTGGCCTTGGGCAGCCTCCAGGGAGGGCAGCTTGGCAAAGTTCTCCACCCCCTGCCTGCTCAGGATGGTGTCGTCGATGCAGGCACCTGGGAGAGAGGAGAGGAGCTGAGGATGGGGCTCAGGGTGCCCCAAGCCCTTCCCTGCTCGGCAGCCACACGAGGGTTGATCCCTGGGTGAGGGGATGGGTGAGAGGAGCCTGGTGGAGCAGGCAGGGTCGTGGGGAAGGTTCTCACCCAGGAGGTTGATCTGGGGCACTCCCTTCAGCACCCGCAGCATGTCCTTCACCTTGGTGTCCTGGCTCACCAGCAGGACATTCCGGCCCACAAAGAGAGGGAGCAGGTTCTTGTACTTGGACTGGGACAGGAAGGGTCTGATGATCTGGGGTGGGGGAAAGACAGCTCCAAAATGCAGCTTTTCCTTCTGGTGGGCACCACACAGTCATCCCACTGCTCCTCCTCCACCTTCCCCCACCACGGGGATGAATCCCTGGGTCATCCCACTGCTCCTCCACCTTTCCCAACCCCAGGATGAATCTCTGGGTCATCCCACTGCTCCTCCATCCTTCCCAACCCTGAAACGAGCCCCTGGGTCATCCCACTGCTCCTCCACCTTCCCCAACCCCAGGATGAATCCCTGGGTCACCCCCCCACTCCTCCACCTTCCCCAACCCCAGAATGAATCCCTGGGTCATCCCATTGCTCCTCCATCCTTCCCAACCCTGAAACGAGCCCCTGGGTCATCCCACTGCTCCTCCACCTTCCCCAACCCCAGGATGAATCCCTGGGTCACCCCCCCACTCCTCCACCTTCCCCAACCCCAGAATGAATCCCTGGGGCATCCCATTGCTCCTCCATCCTTCCCAACCCTGGAATGAGTCCCTGGGTCACCCCCCCTCTCCTCCACCTTCCCCAACCCCAGGATAAATCCCTGGGTCTCCCCCCCACTCCTCCACCTTCCCCAACCCCAGGATAAATCCCTGGGTCTCCCCCCCACTCCTCCACCTTCCCCAACCCCAGGATGAATCCCTGGGTCATCCCATTGCTCCTCCATCCTTCCCAACCCTGGAATGAGCCCCTGGGTCACCCCACCACTCCTCCACCTTTCCCAACCCCAGGAAGAGCCCCGGCAACTCCACTCCTACCTCGTTGAGGATGAACTTGACCTCAATGCCGTGCTTCCGGAGGTAATGCCTCATGAGCACCACGTCCTCCCCGGGCAGGGAGTTGTACTGGCAGACGGCGACCAGGCGGTGCTCCCGGAACACCTGCTCCACCTGCTGCCGCAGCAGCCGCGTGTACCCGTCCTCCTGCAGGAGCCACGGGGCACTGGGCTGACTGGGAGGGCCCCCAGCAGGGCTCAGGTGGCTCTTGGAGAACCAGCTGGGGCATCTCCCAGCCACAGTGAGAGGAAAAAGGGGCACGAGGAGACTGGGAAGGTCCTGCCAGAGTGGGCTCAGCCCAGGCAGGGATTTCCCAGAGGTGTGTGGGGAGCTGAGGAGTCTGGGGATCATGGAATCATGGGACGGTTTGGGTTGGAAGGGACTTTAAAGATCATCCAGATCCAACCCCCTGCATGGGCAGGGACACCTCCCACCAGCCCAGGCTGCTCCAAGCCCCATCCAACCTGCCCTTCAACACTGCCGGGGATGGGGCAGCCACAGCCTCCCCGGGCAACCTGGGCCAGGCTCTCACCACCCTCACACTCCACAATTCCCTCCTCATGTCTCACCTCAAGTTTTCATCCATCCCCCTCATCCCATCCCTCCCTGCCCTTGTCCCAAGCCCCTCCCCAGCTTCCCTGGAGCCCCTTCAGGCACTGGAAGCTGCTCTAAGGTCTCCCTGGAGCCTTTTCTTCTCCAGGCTGAACACCCCAACTCTCCCAGCCTGTCCCAGAGCTGCTCCAGCCCTCCCAGCATCTCCCCTGGACCCTCCCCAGGAGCTCCACACCCTCATGTCGGGGGCCCTAGAACCGGACAGCTCTCCAGGTGGGATCTGACAAGATCCGAGCAAAAGGGGGAAGATCCACCTGTCCCAGCCCGGGGTGTGAGCAGCCCCCGGGGTGTCCCCGCAGCCCCACAGGCCCGGTGATCACCTCGTGGGCCGGTTCCCCGCGGCGGGGCAGGCAGCGC